CCTTATGTCTTTCTCTGTCAGGTCTCCTTTTTCTTGAACTATTTTGCGTTCTCTAAGCACTAGTTTTCATCCTTTTTTGACTTTCTGAGGGCAGCTCAAAATGCCTGAGCCAGCAGGGTCGAGGAGTCTCACTGGCCCTCGTGTGTACGAGGACTCCCTTCTTCCCTCCTTGTATGGGCAAATCATGAGCTTGATAAAGCCCATCTGGCTGCGGGCTCACCCTTCCCCTGCTTGCCCCATCACATATGCCTGTCCCTGCAGATTTACCAGCCCTGGGGATGTCTCTGTCTGTGCACTGTCTGTCCTCAGCAGCCTCGCTACACATCCAGCATCTCTGCCCTGGTCCTGTGCTCAGGATGCTGCTCCTGGAGAGGTCTGCCCCACCGGGGTGGGGGGGAGTGGCGGGTGGCCGGGGGGGGGGGGGGGAGTGGCGGATGCCAGCTGGGTGCTGGGGCAGGAGCCACGAACCCAGAGGGAGGGGAGTGTGGCCCCGGGATGGACGGTGGCACTGGGGATGTTCCTTGTGCATCTGAGGAGTTGGTGACACTGAAATCGAGAAAAGATTTAAGCCTTCCTTGCAATTAATGGCAATTATAAATCCTGCTGTTTCTGTTGTATCTCAAAATATATCACCTGGAGTGTTTGTGCAAAAACAATGGATGCAGGGTGAAAAAAACACCGAACCAGGAAAAATCTACCTGGTGCAGAGCCACTCCCAAGCCTGTCTTCCAGGATGCCAAGACACCCTCCTCCCTTGTCCCTTTGCACAAAGGTGACATTTGCAAAGAGCTCAAGGGCAGGTTTTTCCATGCCAAAGGCTCAGCATCTCCCTGTGTAGCAGCGATAACCGGGTTTGTCAAAGAGCTGGGTCAGCGCCAAGGGGAAGTGCAGTGCTCTGTGGGAAAGTCTGGCCACTTAATTCGGTGCCCCCGTCACAGTGAGCTGAGCCACCCTGTGAACCTGTCATGAGGACACATGCTAGTGACATATCCTCTTCAGTCCCATGTGTGGTGAGATGCTGAGGTGTGTGTGCTGGCTTCCTCAGATGAATAAATAAATATTCCTGTGGGGCTGAGACCAGGTCGGCAAATAGCTAATGAGAACTGAAACCCCAAACTGAAATTACCACTCTTCTGGCTGAAGAGGGCTTAATTTTTTTTCTTTTTTTTTATTTCTTTTAGATGTAACTGTCTTGCAGGGGGGAATGAATGAATCTTTGTGGCTGAATCGGGCTGCATGAGAGCCTGTGGTCCTCAGCCTGCCCCACAAGCAGGGTTCCTCTCTGGCTTCACTTGTACCCAACATGCAACCTCCTCACGGCATCCTTTCTAAGAAGTGAATTTGGGGCAGCAGGGAGCTGAGTCATGATGTGGGTAGTTGTCCCCTGCCAAGGACATTTACAGAAGCGCAGGTTCGTAATTGTGCCTGACTTTGGCATGCAGCAGCTTCCCCGCAAGCAAAGTGCAAAACCCAGTGCAGCAGTGTGGGTACCCTGGCACAAAGCTCCTGACGTGTGTCTCGGCAGCTGTGTTTCGGGTTGGCATGTGCCTGTAGGACAGGATTTGGTGTCAAATGGTGGCTTCAAGCCTCCTCCTTAACCATTTGCAGCAAGTGGGGCAGCAAGTTTTCTCACAACCTGTGGTGCCGTTGCCTAAATCAGGGTACAACTGGGTAAACCTTGATTTGTATCAGTGTACCACACTGTGGTACATCAGTGACCCTTTTGCCTTGCTTCACCCATGTCCAGTGCAGTGACCAGCTCCTGTAGCCATGCTGTACAGCAGCGTCAGGTTCCTGGTGACTAGATTTGGGGGCTTTGTCCCCCTGACAGGTGCTGCTTTTTTTTTTTTTTTTTTTTTTTTTGTTTTTGCTGCAGTGACTGCAGCAGAGGCATTGCTGGTGTTTGAGGGTGTTGTCCCTTTAGGCTTGCACCAGTGTTCAGTTCCTCTTCGTGATCGCTTCAGGTCCGGTCATGGAAGCAGGTGTGAAACCACACAGTGGATGTGATGGGTGCTTCTGGTGTGGAGCAGTAGGAAATGGGGTCCTCTGGTCAAGAAGGAGATCCATTGCTCTGTGCCTGTGTGAGAAATAGGGAATTGATTCCCAAGGGGATTGATGCCAGCACCCCTCATCTCACCTTTAACTGCTACTCTAGACGCATTATTTCCTCCACAAAAATGAGGACTGGGAAGGGACAGCTAATGAGACATCCTGTAAGATATGCCAGGAAGCTGCTTCGATTCTAATGCTGCCTAGAAGAATTGACAGGCTGCATATGACCTGAAATGGCAGAGATTTTCCCTTGCAGACAATTAGTTACAGATAAACAGGAATTAACCAACTGGTGATTGCAACCATTACAGATTGGGTGGTGGTTTTTTGTATGAGGAGAGGGATTTTGAATGGATTCCATGTAACTGAACTGCCTGGAAATCAGCGAGTTTTACAAGGGAAAAAGGCTTCTGTGGATGTCATTAATTCCAAAGATATATTCAATCTGGTTCTTTAGTTACTGGGTTGCTTTAAAATGCAAATTAACTACTTGCCAAAATCAATTTCTTTTGCAGCTTGAATTTCAGTGGAGTCCATCTGGCATCTGCTGGGCAGTTCAGTGACTTCCTGGGGAGCATGGGCCCTGCACAGTTTGTTGGGCGTCAGACCTTGGCCACCACCTCGATGGGTAAGGAACACAAAGATGTTAGATGGCTTTAAATTAATCTTGAACAGACCGCTCCTTCAAGCCACCTAATAATGTGTCCAGCATCTGCTGATCTACCACTCCCCCGCTCCGTTTCTCTCTTAAATCAAGTAAGCTTGGCTGAAAGGTTTTGCTGATTGCTGCCAATGCGGCATTAGTGGGAGAATACCAGCTTTATGCTTTCCTCCGTCATATCTGAAAGGCACAGACTAAGTAAAACACAACCAAAATCCTGAAAATGCATCCTGTGTATCTTTATGTTTTCTTGCTCTGTAAGGCGCACTGGGCTCTGTAAAGATTTTCTTACGGTTCGCCGTAATTGCCTTTTCCAAAGCAGCCTGCAATTAATTCTAGGTGCTTCAGTTTGGGGGAGGTGAGAGGCTAGCTGCCACTGAAGAGTGTGAGACTGAATCACCAAAGCCATGTTAGAGGGCTGACGTTAGAGATTGCTTTTGAAAATGTGGGCTTGAATCACTGCAGAGCTGCTCCAGAGTAACGCAGGGGAGACCAGGCACTCAGGGCCTACAGTTTGTTACAGCTTGTAGCAGGTGTGACATGAAGATTGGGGTTTTTTTTAACATTTTAGTAGCCCACAGATGTGTTGTTTTGAAAGTCTTCTGTCTATTCTGACATTTTGGTTTAGGAGATGTGGAAATTGGCTTGCAAGAGCGAAATGGGCAGCTAGAAGTGGATATCATTCAGGCTCGAGGACTGACACCAAAACCCGGCTCCAAAACACTGCCAGGTAGTATGCTTTGACCTCCTAAAGTAATTCATGGAGCCCCAGCCTCCTGCAATGCTTGTGAATAGGAAGCATTTTAATTCTGCTTGGCTTCTGCAGGAATAAGCAGTCTCTATGCGGTATTGAAAATACGGCTGGTTAAGCAAATCTTTTGACTGCTCTAAATGCCTTCTTTAGAAACGCCTGAGACACGGCACTCTCTCTTTTCTAAAGTCAGCATGAAGATTTTTTCATATTTGACCATATTTATTTTTTCCAGCTGCTTACATCAAAGCTTACCTGCTAGAGAATGGCGTGTGCATTGCGAAAAAGAAGACAAAAGTGGCCCGCAAATCATTAGACCCTTTGTACAATCAGGTGTTATTGTTTGCTGAGAGCCCCCAGGGCAAAGTATTACAGGTAAGATGAACAAGTCTCAGGTCTGCCTATCTCTCTCTTCTACCTCTCCTGGATACTAAGTCTGGCAAGGGATCTGAATAATTAATGTAGATGAGAAAAAGCCAATGTTTTTGTTGGACCAAATGCACTTGATCTGAATGTAACAATGGAAGGGAAAATCTTTTTTAATACTCAAACTTATTATTATTTGACACCTTGCCAGGTAATATGAATGCCTACCAGGAAAAGGTTTATTTTTATTTTTTGAATTCTTTTCTTCCCGCCCAGTTAGGAGATCGGTAGTACCTATAGATATTAAGCAATTTTGCATTATAGGTTATCTTCTGTGTTTATACGTATTCAGAGCATTCTGCTTTGGCCATCACCCCATCACATATTCTACCTTTTTCTACCTCTTTTCTTTTACTGCCATACATTTTCTGCCGTACTTACATTTTCAATTCTGCACTTATGTTTACCAGAGTGAAGAGTGGTTTGCATTGTTAATTCATACGTAAATAATTTCCATCCAATAAAGCCTGGATAAAATCCACTGGTAATACTGATGTAATTAATCTGTGTGTTTCTAGTGCTTACCTCCACTGGCATATGAATTGCCAGCTAACCTGTTGGATCCTTCTCATTAGTGAACTCTTCCTCATTTACTTTGGTTAGAAGCATTTTCCCCTGTTGCAACGAGACTGCACGTTTTTGACTCAAATGGGGTGGGACCTGGCTTGGTCTGCTCTTGCCTTGCGTGAGTTTCCTTGTCTGCTGCCTTACTGCTAGGAAATGCACTTATTCCAAGAGAATAAAATGAGGAGCTCATCTCTCTGCCTGTGGCCGTGCCACCAAACCAACTTTCTACAGTGGCTTGCTCTATCTCATGCTGACCTAGAGTGTTAATTTTTGTCTTTTAATTGATGTTCATTATCTCTGCTACCTCATTTTACAGAAAACTGTAATGTTCTGGTTATTTGGAGCCTAGGGAAAGAAGCTGTCAGGATTAGCCAGAGATCACTTGTCACTGTCATAAACCATCCTACTCATCCTCTCCTCTTCCGAACGTGGACTCGCTCTGGAGTCAGTCGTCACCTTTGTCTTGAGCCACATAGGACCACTTGGTCATGTGCAGACCTCCAGCATGCCTAAGCCCATGACCCTCACTACATCTGTTGTTCCACCCACTGGTCTCCATTGTGTCGTAAGTGTGATTCAGCTTTCCCTGTTTGTCTGCCAGCTCTTTCATTAGACCTTCCTCTGCATCTTCAAGCCTTTCTTGGCAGCCTGTTCTGGTTCCCCTGCATGCTACTCCATGTGTGCCCCTTACGTCACCAGTCCCACTGCCAGCGCTAGGCTCCTGCCCTTTCTCCAGGTGAGTAGCCATGCCTCATCACCATCTGCCCCTCTCCCACCAGCACCGAGTGCAAAAGTTAAGACATGCTCTTTTTCTCAAACTGTTGACTCTTGACCCAAGCTATTGCCCACCTTTTTTTTTTTGGTGGTGTGTTTTTCCAGATCACGAGCCTTTCCTGACCTTTTTCCACAGGCTGCTTTTTGTTGTGTCCAAGGCCCTTTACTGTGCTAGGGCCAGGTTTTGTGTGCAGATGTTGGAGCTGCAGCTCTGGGAATACTTGGTGCATGCGCTGTCCCTGCCCAGCAGGTAGAACAGCAGAGTGATGTCTCATCCACATGTGCATTTGCCTCTTTTCCATGGGGGGAAAAAAGAAGTCTGATAACATTAGGATTTGTAAAACTGTGCTGAAAAAAAAAAAAAAAGTAGAATCATCAGCCAGGGCTTCACATTGCCTGTTGGTAGTGTAAACCTTTCTGCTCTTCTGGGACTGCAGTAGAGCCCCCCGGGAAGTTGGATGAGTAGAAAGAAGGATTGATCAGACTTGTGCTTCCCAAGCAAGTGTGCGAGTTGGAGGATTTAACTGTGCTCCCCCCTCTTGTTCCGAAGGTGATAGTCTGGGGAAACTATGGACGCATGGAGCGCAAGCACTTCATGGGAGTCGCCAGGGTCCTCCTGGAAGAACTGGATTTGTCAACTTTAGCAATCGGCTGGTACAAGCTTTTCCCAACCTCCTCGATGGTAGATCCCACTACAGGCCCGCTCCTGCGTCAGTCCTCACAGCTTTCCCTGGAGAGCACAGTGGGACCCTGCTGTGACAGGTCTTAGTGAGTAAGGAAGGGGGAACTGCTTTTGTTTTTTAAACATGCTGTCAAGGTTTTGTTTGCTGGAACTCTGACCTCAAGCGCAATGCATGTTCAATCAGTTCTTGTGGAGCTGGAAGAGGAGGATAAACCAGTGACCTTAGACAGAAGACGACGGGGAGGGCGCTGTGCCTTCTCCGTCCGAGGAGGAGGTGCCGTGGGGCATGAGTCCTAGTTGTCAAATTAGACATACGCCTCTTGTTTCACTTCTCTCGCTGTCATTCTTGGACCCTTGTTTCAGATCAGTATTAACCCTGGAAAGTTGCAGCATTTGAAAGCATTTTGGGGGAGTAAGGAAAGTATTTTTCTTGACTGTGCGTCTTAGAAATTCCTAATACAGATTCTTTCATGAGAAAGTACCTGAAAAATTCAGAGGCTGATATCTGACCTAAAAAGAGCAGGAGCAGAAAGTTTCAGAGGAAGCATTAGGGTTTTTATAAGGCCTTTCTTCTCGAAAGGAAGAAAAAGAAAGAAACCTGCAACTCTTTAGAATCAGTTCCACATCACTGAGTCACGTTAACTGTAACATTGCCGTCGCTGTGTTTTCAAACTGTGCCAAATTACCAGCAAGTGTCTTTACTGCAATACTTGTCTAACACTGCTGATGAAGCATACTTGGTGGGAGAAGAAGTAGCACCTACTTAGACCAGACAGTTTGAACAGAGTTTGAGTTTAGCAGGCTAATTAACTGCAGTTTTGCTCAGAAAAAACCCCACTAGAAGTGGGAGCTCAACATCAGACTTGCAGCTTGAGATATGTTTTGTATTGTCAAGATACAACGTTCTGCAATTTACTGACTCCCATACTTGTTGGTGTGCATCCTTCAGTCACGATGTCTTCTATGTCCTGCTTTTCTTCCATCTTCTTTGTACTGGTACATATCTGCTGGAGATGCTGCCCTTCCTATTGTGCTATGGACTGACCTGAAACAGGACTGTTTTACTCTGCCACGGGAGAGGAGATTGAGGTTTCCGGGGGTGCAGAAGAAAGAAACCTCAGTTTTTCATCTGTCGGGAAGGTGCTGGAGAGCACGTCGCCTTCCTTGTGGAGAGAAAGGTGCTTCAGGCAGTCTCAGCGGTACACAAACATTGTCAAGTGTCCTGAAAGAGGAGATGCAGTCCTCAAAGTATGGAGAGATAGTGGGTGAGGAATCTGAAGACGCAGTGGTCACAGCGTGTCTATTTTGTTAATTAAAGTGCAACACTAACTGTAAACGAGTCTTGTAGATTAAGCCGGTAAAGCACATTCTCTGAGCTGCTGAGCTACAGCGGCTGCTGTCAGCAGAGTCACGTGCTGGAGTAAGGTGTGCTAGATCCTTCAGACAAAAAAAACCTTATTATCCAAAATCACAGAGATTCTCCAAAGATTTTCTGTTGCTAGACCTGTTTCGGCTAGGTTTTGCCATAATTCTTAATGGGGGTTTGATGACTGCTGTCGCAGAATAAGCTTGTGGAGATGTTTTACTTTGTGATTTAACAGTGAAGGTCCCATGTCGTGTTTAGGAATGAGCAGATTCTTGACCTGTCGTAGAGGCATACTGAACATTTATTTCTGCATGTGGACCTCAGCTTTGTTAGAATAAAAGCATGAGTGTTGAGTGGATGGTAAAAGCAGTTGCTTTTGGTCCTAGCTTGTCTATGGCATTTTAAATTATTTTGAGATAAATTGCAGGATAGATGCAAAAATAATAGGCCTTACAATAGTCTCTGTAAAAAAATGATATAATATAAAGGAGAGGGGAGGACGAGAAGGGACATAGAATGAATAGTTTTTTGAGTCTTCAGTGGCAAAAGCCTCAATATTGCAGATAAATCTCTTAATTTCCTTGATCAAATAAGTCTCTGGCCTCTCACTAATTATTTTTTCTAATCATATTAGACAATTTCTATATATTAGCTGAAGAAAGTTTGTTGCATGCTGGTCAAACTATGTTGTGGCTCTCTCTTTTATTTTTGTTTTTTTAAAAAAAGCACATTTACTGTAATTCAAGTCAGCATCTTTTCCTCTTGGTATGTAGTGAGTACTAGGCAATATTGTACAATACGTGTATGAACTAGAATAGATTAGGTAGATTTAGTGGTTTGTAGCACTGGATCTTTTAATAACTATGTCTTTAAAAGGACCGTGGGGAGCTCCAGGTACATGCCAGACCTGGCAGCTGAGTAACAGGGCTTCTGTCTTAAGTTATGCCGAAAACTTTATATTGGTACTTAGTTTGGACGTTATCTACTAGTAATAGCTAGGTAATCATGGTTTTCCTGTGTCCAGTAAGATGAATGCAACGTTTTCGCAGTCTTTAATGGGGGAGTAGGAGACTACATATGCCGAAAGCATTCCCTCCGAAAACTTTGTTTAATGACTGTTTGTTGAAAAGCTCAGTTCCTGTATGCCTGGCAAATGCGATGTGTCTCTATATCCTACCCCTCCAAAAACTCTGCAAGCTCAGTGATGATCAGTTTAGTTACAATAGGACTACTTAACACTGAGGACTATCTTCCATATGTTTTTAATCATACTAAAAGGTCACTGTCGAGGTGAAAAAGTTACACTTCTACTTCTGTTAGTTTTGTTAACGTCTCGGATTCTGAAATTTGGAGGCAGTTTTAACAATCTGCTCCCTCCTGTTTTCTTCTGCATTTTTTACGTGGTTGATTGTAGTCCAATGGTTCTCGCTTTTGTTTCTACTCACTTCCAGCCCTGTTTCTCCCCAGTAAGCGAACGTGGCAATCCCTGGCTGCCACGCACGGCAAAGTCATGCGAACTGGCAATTGCAGATGATCTTCTTTCATAAAGCAGACTCACAGGAGCCCTTCTGAGAGTGCCCGTGGGGCACAGAGTGAGGCCAGGAGAGCTGCACGGTACCCTGCAGTCTAAATTCTTGCTTCACTCATGCCTATGATTCCTGCACTGATCATGGCATGTTACAGTTAAAAAAGAAGTCTCCTAGTTATCCATCCAAGGCAAGTCTGAGGCTTGGAGTAGTTTATTTTTTAAAGCCAAACTTGTTTTTTCCCCCCCAAATTTGACTTGCCAGTTTTTGTCTACAGTGATGTGATATGACAGTTGGGATTACCAGTGTAGTTGTGTAAAAAGTAGCAGTTTGCTAGAGTGATGAGCAGCTGAAAACTAAACTTTGTTCCCCTTTGCAAGTCGTGACCGAGTTTTTTCCTGTGTCTGAGTCTAGCTGTTAGTTATAGTCAGGGAAGGGGAGAGAGGGGAAGAGCAGGAGACTTAAAAAAAAATAATAAAAGGCATCATAGTATTTTTGGTCTGTGAGTGGTGATGAGGGATGAGACTGAGGAGAGAGAAATACTTGCCCAGCTCAGGGTTGATTCCCTGTTCCTTGTGCATGAAGTACCACGTTTTAATAGTAATGGGAGGATTGCCAAAAAAAATGGAGAGCCAGTCCCTAAATGTTACCTGCATTACTATTACCATGGAAGACAAAGCTTGATGCTGAGAGCAGACTGATCTCCCCCCAGTGTTCCCCCGCACACAGGGAGAGCAGAGCACCAAAACCATGCCTCGCGTGGCTTTGTCCTCTTTGTGGTCTGAGCAAAAAGCAGGCGTGACCATGGTTAGTCCTGGTTTGTTCAGGCAAAAAAATGTGCTATTCTCCCAGTCTCCTGGTGTTGCTTTCCCTTTGCCCCAACACAGCTGGGATGCCACAGAGCCAACAGAAGGTCCTCACTCTGCAATTCAGTCCATGCGTCCTCACCCTGCAGCCGAAGCTGCCTGGGCAGGCTGGAGCATCCCTTTTGCACTGCGCGTGGGCGACTGTCCACGGGCAGGGTAAGGGCCAGGTGACTTCATTGTTTAGCCAAGTACATCCCCACTTCTTGGCCATGGGTTGTTTCAAAGGACATTGCAGAATTACTTGCTTTGAATGAAAATACATAATTATTGTTTCTAGCTGCCGGATCCTTTATCAATGTACTGCTCTAAATTTGCAGGTCTTCTGGAGTATGAATATCACAAGTTCCTGTAAAGGAGCTATTTTTAAGATGTTGAGGCAGTTTAACAGAATCTCAACCTAAGCATGTTTAGTCATGTTTAGACAGCAAGACAACTTTTTTATGAAACTCATTTTAAGTTAGTTTATTACATGCTGTTCGTAATATTTTAAAACAGGAAAAATATTTTTCTTTAAAGATGAAATGATGTATGTTTTTTAACAGATAACATAATTTAGTGTTTTCAAAAATGTTTAATGTTCTTGGTATGAAGTTTACTCATTCTTTTGGTTTCTATCTTCTTTGTTATATTTTATCAACTTTTTTCCAAAAGAAGAGAGGCATATGTAAATAAACACCAGAAAAGAGTCCTATAAGAAATTCTGTTCAAACTGGCCATAAAATTATTAGTAAATATTTGTTACCGTTCATTCTCTCAGCTACTATTCAAGCCTTTGTTGAAAGAATTGATGTTGTATTTTCAAGATGAGAACTACTTAGCTAGTTTTGTCATAATCCTGTACTCTGTATAAAAATCTTTTTATATAAAGAAAGTCTAATAGGCTAACAAGCAATAATATATTCCATTTGGTGTGCACAGATTGTGACTTGCAGGCTGTAGTACATATTGTTGATACAGTTTATAATTGTCTTCAATCTCAATGACATCACTTTTGAAAAAGATCCATATTAACTTTGATTGTAAAAAACGAAGACTGGGCCGTTGCCTTGTGAGATATATTCATCTTATAGACTTCTCTGTGAGTATATGTGCCCATTGACATGAAATCTCTCTTAGGTGAAGAATGAAACAGCTGTAGGTGACTTCATACTACAGAGGTAAAAAATAGTTTCGATATAAACTTCATGACTGTTTCAATCTCCCTGTTTTTCTTAGGCTATCTAGTATTTGTAACTCAATGAGAATGGTTCCCACTGCCACTGTAGCCCTGATAAAGCAAAAAAGCCTTTGCACTCTGGGGCCACATGAGTTCTGCCTGACAGCTGCCTA